TGCACAGTTACTCTTTGTCGATGACAGCATATGAATAAATGTTTTAAAAATAACCAATTATTTAATGATTTAGTCGTAATTAATTAATTTTTTTTAAATGTACTAAGCTAAGGGGATATAAGCCTTGTGTACTAAGCTAAGGGGATATAAGCATTGTGTACTAAGCTAAGGGGATATAAGTCTTGTGTATTAAGCTAAGGTGATATAAGCCTTGTGTACTAAGCTAAGGGCATATAAGCCTTGTGTACTAAGCTAAGGGGATATAAGCCTTGTGTAGCGAATTCGGTAGTTTGAAAAAACATTGGACCATAGCACACTGAGCATACTATAATCATTATAGTTAATTGAATAAAAACAATGAATACAAATATCTCCAATCGCACACATTTATTAATGTTAGTCTAAAATTCTAGATGTCTGTACAAAGGCTGTGTGAAACGTCTAGAGTGGTAGCTTAACTTGTTGCCACCGCTGGCTAGCATTTGTGAAAAGTATAGTCAATTCAATCTCATGATATTTCGCTACTTGCAAAATTCAGGTGCAGCGGCTAAATTATGTCTTTTGAAAGCAATTGTTTAAATTTTAAAATCATTTATGCAAGCCATTTTCTCATAAAAATAAACCTTTTTTAAAAAATATAGTTTAAATATAATTAGAGAATCCAATAATACATTATACAGAGTGATGTGCTATAATGCATATGCTTATTTTTTTTTATTTTGTAACATTTATACACTCACAAAAATGTAAAAACCAAAAGTGTTTTAAATATAATATAAAAGCTTTTTAATCTGGCTTGTCTTAAGGCTAGAATGAAAAGACGGTATATCTTGATTAGGGGACTGCTGTTGGCAGACGATGCGGCACTCATTTCCCATTCACAAGAAAGATTACGAAGACTAGTAAATGCTTTTGCGGCTGAATGTCAAGAATTTGGCCTTATAATAAGACTCTCCAAGACCGAAACAATAGCACAAGAAGTCGCAGAATTACCCAAGATACGAATTGAAAATCACACCCAGAGAAGGCTACATTGGCTCGGACATGTCACCCGCATGCCAGATAGAAGAATTCCTAGGGACATCCTCTATGCTAGGGTGAAGCACTGGGTGCTGCAAACTGCCAAAAGGTCGCCGGCTCCTAATCTTTCTTCATGATTGATTCCCAAAACCTTTCCCGATTCCCATGATTGAGTATAGCAGCAAGGTAGCGTAGGTTTGGATTCGGAGTTGTTCTTTTCCAAGGTGGGTAGCCAGCCATAGCTAACGAGCCCCTCCTGTCCGAAGGTTACTGATTTGGGCGCCAGTTACTCGCTTTCTCCCCTTCTCCTGTTAGTGACAACAGTTCCGCCGGACTTAATTAAGCCACACCTGAAGAATTGGACTGGTTGTCTGAGGCTATTTGTGACGTATGTCAATAGAGAGCATTGTATACACGTAAGTCTTTTAGTTCTAAGATCTCGTCCCCCTACTCTTGAATAAGCCTAATGCATACATTTCCTAATTATGTGTAACTCTTAAGCTACCCCTCTGATGACTTTATCTCCCGAGGTACAAATATTCATTATAAGAATCACTGCTCTGATATGTGTAAGTATAAAGCATGTTTAATATTTCTCCTATCTAGAGCAAAGAAATCATGAAAATGGCAACTACGTAAACATTTGTTATTCTTTTGTTTGGAGAGTTATTGCATTGAAGGGCAGCAACTGGAACAGCGCTATTTTTTTTTATATTGAACATCACTCCCCCCCCCCCTTTTTTTTTTCCGGAGAAAAAATAAACGCAAAAAACGTATGTAAAGGTGTAGAACTCCGTCCTTAACCCTTAAAGTGCTGAGCTGTTTTACAATGAATGCATAAACAATGGAGGCTAACTACCACACGCGCCTTAAGGGTTGAAGCTATTTCTACCAATAATGCACAAGTTATTTCCCTTATTCGATATAAAACAAAATAATTAATATTACAAATAATTAATTGACCAATTGAGTATTTTTGTTTATTGATTTATGTTTTATTAGGTACAGCGGAAGTAGTCAAGGTCAACGAAACTCTCCTGCCCCCTGAACTCTTAAATCTCCTCCGCCTCTGCGCGGTAGCAGGTCATGTCTCACAAATACGCAAATACAGTCACAATATATAAGAACAAAGGAGATTGGAGTGACTGAAAGCATTATAAGGGTATCTCTCTCCTCAGCATTGTTGGTAAAATCTTTGCTAGAGTGGCACTAACCAGGCTGAAAGTGATAGCTTTTAGAGTCTATCCAGAGTCTCAATGTGGAATCAGGAGTGGCAGATCCACCAAAGACATGATATCCTCTCTACGACTATTGCAGGAGAAATTCATAGATAGAGGCATACTTCTTTACATCGTTTTTTGTAATCTGACTAAAGCCTTTGGCATGGTCAGCAGAAATGGCCTTTTCAAATTCATAAGGAAAATAGGTTGTCCTCCCAAACTACTGTTTAATGAGTGCTTTCATGAGGAAACAAAGTGTACAGTGAAATTCAAGGGAGCCCAATCAGCACCTTTTGAGGTTAGCAGTGGTGTCAAGCAGGGATATGAGCTCGCATCTACTCTGTTTGGCATTTTCTTCTCCTTCTTACCGCATTATGCCAGCAACGACACCAACGAAGATGTATTTCTCCATACAGGATCTTCTGGAAAACTCTTTTATGTATTGTTATAACTCTGCCATGCGCACCGACATCTAAGCTAGAAGGTGCGCACTGTGATAAACTAGACTGAGAAGGATGTCAACATTAGGAAAAGAAGTGAACGATTTCCGCCCAAGTTGAGCCGAAGTGAAAAGACTGTGTCTAAGAAAGATGTTGTTTTTGTGTACCTGTGATGTCGTGTAAATAAACGTCTATGTCTCGTTGAGTTGCCTCACTTAAGTTATTACAGTATCAAGGTTGCGGGCAAAAACCAAAGTTAGGAAGGTACTTATCAGGGAATTCATGTATGCTGACGATGCAGCTATTGTGGCAGACTCTGATACTCAGCTTCAGATCCTGGTTGACAAACTATCTGCTGCTTACCAGAAGTTCGGCTTAAATATTAGTCAAAGCAAGACTAAGATACTTGTTCAGAACACAAATACTGCACCTCACGTAACTATTAATGGCCAACCATTAGAAATTGCTAACCATTTTTGCTATCTTGGCTCCATCATATCCAATGATTTTCTACTGGAAAGGGAAAAGATCATCTCTCGTGACGTAAAATGCCACAGACCAGACTTCTGGTTCGGAAGCCAAGCGCTTAACTGCTCAGCCACCAGTCACCACATTGATCAGGTGATCAATGCTTATTAAAATTGAAGTTAAGATAGATAAAGTCACCAACATGTGTTTTACACGAATTTCCTATCTAGTAAATGTGTCTATTGAAAGTGACATCGAAAAGATATTGGCGTTTATGAAGTTATCCAAAAATGTTGAATTTTAGAGAAGAAAACTTTGAATTGTAAGAGCATTTTATTATTTTTGTTACGCAATTGACAAAAGTTTGAATTGTTTCTATCGTCCTCGTATTTCTATACGACAGATTCCGTTAGAAGCTCGTCAAGACGGTCTCTCATTTTTAATCTTACATTTTAATATATTTAATTAGTAAAGTAAAGTGCCCCTTTCAGACCTTGAGATCTACTAATACACGTAGTAACTATTGGTAAATTGTCATAAAAAAACGAACTTTTAAAATAAATTGGACAATCATTTTATAGTTGTTTAACCACCATTGAAAGTACGTCATTAGCTTAATGCCGGTTTTATGGTTGAACAAAGAAAAGGAAACATTTTTAAGTATGTGTGTTTTGCCTGGGGTACCTTAGACGGATCACATTGGGTGTCACCCACCCAAATGACGCCACTGCAACTTTATATACATTTATTGTCAAGTAGTTGAAGTTCTTTTCATATAGATCATCTAAGACTAGAATATCATTGAAATATAACCATTCTGTTAATAAAACAGTTGAAAGGGGAGCCACTCCTCCTCCTCTTAGTACACAAAGACCGGTTTTCCAATTACCAAATACACTTCTATGAAAGCAATAATGAAACCAAAATGTACTCTCCTAGTGGCTTAATTTGAGGTTTGATGCACAGGTCATGTCACTATGTGTCTAGGGGGAGAATAAGACGTACATTCATTCCCCTGGTGACGCTGAATACCTGTGCTCCTCAACACACACACCTCCCCAAGTAATGTAGCATTTAGGAGGACACGACTTCCTGACAGAGGGAAGGAGAGAGGACACAGAATCTGAATTCATTTTTCAAAGTGTAAATAACTATTTTCAGTATGGTTATTAACTCTTTCTCTCCTAACTGACGATACCAGCGTTGATTCCACCAGAATGTGGTAAATAATTATGGAGAGAAAGATTTAATTGTTGATGCAGGGCCAAGGTATTTTTCCCCTGAACTATTCAATTACTTATTTATGTATTTATTTGTCCATTGTTACTTAATAATAATTAGCTTGTCTGTTTTACAACTGTAAGTTATAATTGTGATTCAGTACATTTCTTATATTTGTAGTTGGTGCTCTCCTGAAGTCGTAGAACGACTATGGTTCCTTTCGTAAAAATTGTCTGGAGGTACATCCTCGTCCACATATAAAACAAAATTAATTAATTAATTAAAGATTATTTGATTGACTAATTTAGTTGTATAATTTTGAATTGATTGATGTGTTGTCATCGACAATGAATAATTGTGAAAAGTCTTAACTTTTTCCGAGAATGGAAAGTCGGAGAAATAAGCCTGCTAACGAATTTGACCAATGAGTCAAACAGAGTGAGTTGATATAGGCTTGGTAAAATCGTTGGCAACAAGACAGTAAGAGGTCTGTCTTATTTAACAAGAAGATGATATCAATAATAACCCCTCTTACAGATGCGCGTTCGCAACAAAATCGGCCGGCGATTGTGCTATATTTATTCAATTATAAGTAAGCATTAAAATGCATTAAAATTCACAGGTACAGAAACTTATTAAAATTTGCATATAGATATGTATTCATTTTATTTATCAGTGAGCATAAAAAATACATAAAGTACAAAGGTACAGAAACTAATTAAAATTGACAAAGAAACGTTACATCTGAACGTGATTACAAATAGTTCAGAAATAAAAGAATAGTTTAAAAAATAAAAAACTAAAAGCAGTATAAACCATCTTTTGTCATTTCCTCTCGCTCTCGCTCTCTCTCTCTCTCTCTCTCTCTCTCTCGCTCTCTCTCTCTCGCTCTCTCTCTCTCTCTCTCGCTCTCTCTCGCTCTCTCTCTCTCACTCTCTCTCTCTCTAAAGGACTTACAAACTCATATGCTAAATTATTGTTTTTATGTTTGACACTGTGTAGGTGTTTCTGTAAGAAGATAATGTTTGTTTGGGGGGGGGGGGGCACTACACAACCCAAAACCCAAGAGACATTATAGTAGCACTGAGATTGCCCCCTAGCTGGCAACAAAAAACACCACTCCGCCTATACATATGACGATACCACCGACAGCACTCAGGATGAGGGAGTACCCGATGTCGAAACCTGCTTTGTCCATTAAATACTTCTGATACACGCCTCCGCCAAAGCAACTGGTACTGATGATAACACACAAGACTGAAACAAAAAAACAAAACAAAAAAAAAATGCAAATTTGATCTTTAAAAAAATTAAGTGACGTCATCAACAGACAAGCTTTAAATGATAAAATAATAACTGTCTAATTAATTTTGTGTTGTTGTTTTTTTTTTTTGGCTAAAAGGGCGGGGATTCATTATAAGGTGCCTTTTGAGTTTGGGAGGGAGATAATTATAAAAGAAAAGAAATAGCAAGTAGATAGATAGATAGATAGATAGATAGATAGATAGATAGATAGATAGATAGATAGATAGATAGATAGATAGATAGATAGATAGATAGATAGATAGATAGATAGATAGATAGATAGATAGATAGATAGATAGTTTCATCACCCTGGAAATATTTCACACACAGATCCTGTTTATTTTTCTGCCAGACAGTTTTCTATATTAAATATAAATGAGACGAGAATTCAAACAATAGCCTGAGAAAAACTTAAGGATGTAAATGCAACAGGATTTTTAGCAGATCAGGGGATAAAACTTTGACACGTGTAGATTTTTAAATTACCTTTTCGGTTTCTAATTAATAGAAAGCTTTTTCTTTGTTGTTTTAGCTTATACAACCTTGAACCTCGTAAGTACATACAACTTTGCACCTCACCAGCTACAAATGCTCCTCTTTCCCTAGTGCTATTAGAGCATGGGATGGGTTGCCTGAGCTAGCCAGAAAAAACTGTGACTTGGCAGAATTTAAGTCATTCGTTAATATTCGTGACTAAATGCATGACGCGTAGGAAGAAAGAAACGTCTGTATTATATAAGATAAGAGATTTATCATAAAATCAAAGCATTTCTCCTAAATGAACAGTACAAGAGGAATCATGGTCTCCCCTCTTGTTATATACGCATCTTTAATATGTCTTTTTTAGAGTTCCGAAAATAGTTTATTAATAATCAAGTCAAGGTAAGATTAAGTACTTCGATGAGACAAATAAAAATAGCGAGAATAAATTCATCCATTGTCTTTCAATTGGTGCAATAAAGCGTTCGCATCAAGTAATTTAAGACTTGAATTATATTTAAAAGGAGAGGATCTACTGATAAAGATTTTTTTTAAATTATATTTTCTGTATACATATTTATAGCTTTCTTCAGGGCCTGTTTTAGGTTACTGCAACCTATGCGGTCGCAATGGACCCCGCTAATTCTAGGTGTATATTATTACATTATATATATATATATTAACAGGGTTTTTGCGGCCTCCTTGAAATGTCCTGTAATTGCAAGGATACAAAAATCTCCTTAAATTATTAAAATCTCATGAGAACTCAAAAATTTCCTGAAAAATTGGAAAATTGTCAATTTTAAGGTACCAATCCTATGCGCGATAAAAAAAAACAACAACCTGCAAAGACAAATGTATTGTCTAATACAAAATATTTATTTTGATATTATTCTTATCCCTGCCTAGACTGGGCCCTGCGCAATCGGTTTTGCATAGGGCACGGCAATAGGTAGGGCCGGCCATGGCTTTCTTCAAAAAATGTGCTCGATGTATCTCGAATAATTAATCTGAGAATTGACTTCCGGTGATAACTGTGGATCTTTGTAGTTTTCGATTCTTTTATAACTATAGTTCTGTTGAAGGATGTACTTCCAATGGCTAAAATTCAACAACGAAAAAACGCTTTAATTTTGTTTGTTTTAGAAATACTTTATACCCATGTGCATATAATATGCACACACAAAAATTTAAACCTTTTTCAGAAGACCAAGACTAGTCATTTCTCAAATTCGAGCAAGATGATGGCGATGGTAAAATAAAATAAAAATCTCCCATTGCATTTTTTAGGTTGAGAAAAAAACAACAGACAGACAGACAGCACAAAACAACAATAGCTATAGTAGACCTTTACTTACGTGCTAAAATTCCAGCTACCATTATAATGAACTTCAAAGTTTGCGTTTCTGGTTTAGCAAGAACACGCATAATAAAATGATAGCAAGCCAGACCTAAAGCTGCTATTCCTGCCACCATGCCCAGAATAGAAAAGGCACTTGCAGCCTTCCATGCATCTGTAACAAAAAAAAGTCAAAAAACTATAATCATATAATCATATCAAGCTCAATTGTAGGCGATATTAAAATATATGCGCTTAACGATAACACGATGTCTCCAGTGATACCATAAACAAGAAGCTAATACAATTGTAGAGCTTTCATATACACTATATACCTAAGCCCAAAGTCAGATCCTGAATTTTTGAGATGGCGATTTTTTAGGAACCGCAAGCCTATTTTAGTTTTGATGCCTCCTCTTGTTATGGTGTGTGTGTGTATGTGTTTCTATGGTGACGGTGGGGAAGTGTAAATGATACAACAGAAGCAGCTTTGTCGTACGACAGACGATTCCAGATTGCCAGAGTGAAAAGACGTGTTTTTTGTAGTGAGCTAGTTTTTGTTCAAAATACCATTTTACATTATTCCCAAAGTCTACCACATTCATTTATTTAACCTCAAGTTAAAATTTTGTATATATTGGAATAAAAGTTATTTCAAATTTTACAAGTTAAAAATATTAGGCTAACACAGTTGTCTGCCAGCAGTTGGTACTATAAGTCAAAGACCATCCACATCACCTCTTTCTCAATTTAAGCCATGTACTTTGGATCAAGTTTTATAGGTTATTGTTTTGTTTTGATTTTTGTTTTGTTTTTGCTTTTGAAAATGTGGTCTCACTTTTTTCAATGGTCAGAAATGTATCTTGAATCAACGAGCGCTCATATTGCAAACTTTGTTGTGTGTGATAATGTATATTTTGGTTTATGCCTAAAACGCCGAGGCCTAGACTCTAGACAACTCCTTAAACTCGTCCGTTAAGAACTACAATTCCCTGGCAGTAAAGGTTGAGACCAAGTCTCCACTAATCACATCAGTGAGGTCCTTGTGTTGGACGCTAAGTTTCTTTTGCATCAGCTTGCAAGCGCCGATGTGTTTATGGTACATTTCTAGAATGCAATGCTGATCTGAGGGGATATTTCCTATAGTGTTGAAACTTCGATTAATTACTAATATACAATTTTTACACCAATACTTCAATTATTTATATACCATGTTATAGGACTAAGATATACCATGTTGTGGGATTGAGATATACCATGTTGTAGGACTGAAATATACCATGTTATTGGATTGAGATATACCATGGTGCAGGACTGAGATATACCATGTTGTAGGATTGAGATGTGCCATGTTGTAGGATTGAGATATACAATGTTATTGGATTGAGATACACCATGTTGTAGGATTGAGATGTATCATGTTATAGGACTAAGATCTACTAAATAGTATTAGTTGTCATTGTAAAAATTTGGCCCCGCCATTTGTAAGGCCGGCCCTGACAAAACATTTTGGTTGCTGGTCTCATGGATTTTAACTTTATGAGTTGTGAAGAGGGGAGTTGTTTTTGTTTTCTTTCCTCCCAACCAGTAACATGATTGTGATCTTGAATTGGAGGGTACATTATAGTATGGACTGGATCTATTTCGGTTCCTGGCCTATGTCAGTGTGCCATCAAGAGTTGTTTTGTCCCTTTTATTTTCATGTGGAAACATGTAATACAATTTGATGTTGTAAAACAGTAAAACATACAGGCTGACAATGAAACCATAAATTAAACATTACCTTACGCCACTACATTATAGTCCATAAGCCGTCTGAACATTACATGTTAAAGATTTACATAAATGGAGGAACATTTATGAATACGGTAGCAAACTTTCTAGTGTATCAGATGTACAAAATAAAGATGTTGATGAGCTATAATAGACTTATTGTGTTTTTTTATAAACTCTTTCTCTCCGTTATTATTTAACACGTTCTGATGGAATCAACGTTGGTATCGTCAGTTAGGAGAGAAAGAGTTAAGTCTAAGTTAATTGTTTTTAGCACTGCGATATATAGATTTGTATAGGTCATTCCGTTTGTAGCACAAAATAATTTGAATGTTGGAAAAGTATTACACTTTGATTCTATGATTTAACAGTGACTTTAAAACATATTGGTAGTCAAGGAGAGTTGATATGAAGATTAACTACTTCATATATCAGTGGCGTAGCGAGGGTGAGGAGAGGGGGGAGTCCAAATTTGAAAATCCCCCAGGGCCTCCACTTAAGGGAGGCGCCCAACTCAGTGTCAGATTTTTTTTACATTAAATATTAAGCGATTGCCATGTTATCTTGCTATTCATATTGTTATGTAAATGAGTGACCATGTTGCATGTATTTCACACATTAGATTTTTATATTTATCTCATGTTATGATGTCAAATGTCAACAATGCAGGGGCCCATAATGAGGACAAGTCATCCGGGCCCCCAAATCCCTTGCTACACAACTGCCACATAGGGATATTGTTTAAGTTACGGATCATTTCTTTTGAATTAGATGGTAGCAGTGACGTTCAATTTAGCGTTTTTGAAATTGCTTAGTTAATTGTGAATATCTGTAATATAGTCAAAACTGGCCCAGTCAATCTGGTTACCACGCGGTCATGACCAATCAATCCAGTCACTGTTTTTATGGATAATTAGTCACTCATTTTATGTTCTTGGCTATTAGTTATTAGTTAGCCCTATAGTCCAGAC